TATAGCATGTTCACAGAGTGAAGTAAGTAACTGTTGTTAATTACGCAAGAAGCTAATTCTTCTTGCCGACTGATGCACGTTCTTATTAAGTAGCGCATGTAGTCTTACTTATTGTACTACGAGTCAAGTTATTGTGATCTTTTTCTCATGGGCAATACTGAGTATATCCAGCAGAATCTAACTGAGCGCGTCAAAATATTTTGACAAGAACGGAATGGTAGAGTAAATCAAGTATTTGTGTTGGCTTTATGTGTTGCCCACATACAATAAAGTATTAGGCAAGAAAGGAAATATTATTTCTATATTCATGGCTGAACGGCGATTTCAAGCATTTTTGGAGATGTTAATACTTGTGTTACACAACATTTGTTAGGAATGTTTACCAATATGGAGTCTGCTTTCAAATGAAATCTCGCGGGACTTCAAGTTTTGGGAATTTTAGCATCTATTTTTAGTAACGGACCATACACTATTTTAAGTAAGTAAAAACAAACAAATAAATTCAAAACAATATAAATCCAACATTTTTTTGGTACAATGTCTGTTATTGAATAAATACACCGTTATTCATAATTTTCAATTAAAAATAGTATTTGGGTCACGGGTCATGCAAAGCAGAATGGTCTGGAAACACGCTATATAAACCCTTCTCGCTACAATTAAACATGTCTCGGTATAAATCGGTATAGTTTGCTATAAGCAAATTATGTAAGTGTTCAAGAAAAGGGCGAATATTAAATACAAGAGCAAAAATGAAAATTTTAACGACATGATGTTATTTAAAAATCTTTAAACTTTTGAAAAAAGGATAAATATTTCAGGAAATGATGTTTTTTAAAGCCATCTTTGTTAAAAAACATAGATTGTTTGTTCAGAATATTTGCCGATAATCGGCGCCATTTTGAAAATGCACCAAATTAAACATCAAATATTTGCAAATAACATCGTGAAATATTATAATATTTTTACATGATACGATTTAATAACATCTTTTCTCTGTAAAATCAATTTCTATTTTGTCATTGAGCAATGCATAAATTTAAAAAAAGCTCATGAAACTCGGACCTATTTTCAAATATGAGCAGTAGATTTTTACCTTTACACCGGGAACGAAAAATTTCTAATTTCATTGCAAATCTATAAAATGGTTACTTTTAAAGTAGAAACTGATAATGTAATGTAGTCAGAGTTAGGTTTTAGTAATTTTTTGATTGATTTAACAAAACATTATCTTATAATTTGATTTTTGAATGGTGATGTGCTATGTCATATCACGGTCGGTAGATAACCCAATCACGTGACTTAAGCGAGACAGCATTTTTCGTAAAATTGGTATGTTTCCAGACCATTCTATTTGAAAGACCCTGTGCAAAGGTATCCGAACCTAAATTTTCGCTAATCACGTGATAATTAGTGCAGCAATGGCGGCGAATTTTATGAAATGTGAACCCACTGATACACTTTGAGGTATTTTTTCATCAATCTAACGTTCTGTGTTCAAAAATATAGACTGAAGTGTCCCAAATATATCTAACTACCTGTATTAAAACAGTTTTTGTCCAGATCACGCAAATTTATTGAATTACAGCATGACATAAATATGTCACGGTTCTGGTTGACTTTCGATACGGGATTGGCTTCAGCTAACAGGTCTAGCAGTACTATAAAACCTGTTCGCTGAAGTCTCTTTAGCTAACTTTCTGAGTATCATTCCGGTAGAACCACCATTTTTACATTAAAGTGTCATTTTGGAAGTATCATTCAAGAGTAGAACCAAACAAGAGTTGTCACAGGAGACAGCGAAGCTCGACTAATAAAATACTGGACGCAGTAAGGAGGACAAAACTATGAAAGAAAAATCAATTATGTATAATAATGTATATGGTTATAGTAAAAAAATAACATTTGTTAACATAAATTCTAAGATCAAGGGGAATAATTCTAGAAATAGGCACGCTAGAAGTTATGAACCTTGTCACACAACATGTTTGTAATGATAAGAAATATATATTTGAAGTTCGAAGTAGATACCTTAAAACGTAAAGAAGTTATAATATTTCTTAAAGAAAATCCTAAGTTCAAAGAGAGATAAATCTGTAAATATTGCTTCAAGAGTTATGAACATTGTCACATAAAATGTAATTGATGATAAGGAATAAGTATTTGAAGTTTGAGGTAGATACCTTTAAAACTAAAAAAGTTATATTAAAAAATAACATTTTTCTAGTAAAAAAATCTAAGTTTATGGGGAGATAATTCTTGCAATATTTGTGCTAGAGTTATGAACTTTGTCACATAAGATTTGGATGATGATAAGGTACATATATTTGAAGTATGAGGTTGATCCCTTAAGAAATAAAGAAGTTACAGTAAAAAATAGTATTTTTAAGGAAAATTCTAAGTTCAAGGGGAGATAAATCTGAAAATATTGGTGCTAGAGTTATGAACCTTGTCACATAAGATGGGAATGATAAGGTACATATATTTGAAGTATGAGGTTGATCCCTTATGAAATAAAGAAGTTACAGTAAAAAATAGTATTTTTTAAGGAACATTCTAAGTTCAAGGGGAGATTAATCTGTAAATATTGGTGCTAGAGTTATGAACCTTGTCACTTAAGATGTGGTTGATGATAAGGAACATATATTTGAAGTTTGAAGTTGATACCTTAAGAAATGACAAAGTTATAGTGAAAAATATTTTACTGCACCAAAACTTTAATCTGAAATCTGGACACGGACGCCGGGGCGAGTAGGACAGCTCTCCATATACTTCGTATAGTCAAGCTAAAAACTTAACATTAAAGTATCATTCAGGAGTAGTCACAAACTTTACATAAAATAAAGTTCAATCCTTAACTTGCTGAATTCTTGGATTTTTCCAGCACCCACTGTTGGAACTGTCTGCATACATGTATCAATTCTGGGAATTAAAAGAGCCTGGTCAGACTATATGGATGTGCATCCTGGCTTGGCTGTATACTGGCAGTTATAGGTTTGAACAGGGTAAGTGTTAAAACAAAATGGTAAACTATAACATGTAAACACAGCAGACATTTTGATTATGTTTTATTTCACATCCACTATACTGAAACATATACACAAATGGTATGTAAGGTAAACAAAAATAATGTTGATACACTGGATAATGAGGGATGGCATTCATGAAAACAACAAGAAATCTAATGTACAAATGTAATATATGTAATGAGAAATGATGTATGACTTTTCGGATGATAAAAATGGCTAGGTTTCAAATTTAACAAATGACAGCATTAGTATGTTAGATTATAACTTTACAGGAAATTTCATCAAGTACAAAAAATGTTGAATTTTGAAAAAGGAAAGTTTAAACGGTACAATTATTGCAAAAAACAAATTACAAACTTCAGGCTATTTCATCATCCTGAGATTCTACTGGTCCTATACTTGACTGAATAAAAATTAAAGGGACTCCACTGAGGTTTTTTTTGACATGGCAGGACTGGAAATATCTTTTTCATCATTTTTATATCAATTTTTATAACTCGTGACTATTATTTAAGATCATTCCCTCTTATTTCTAATATATCCAGGATATTAATTCTTATTGTGCAAAACAACCTGCAAATGGCATGATAAAAACAAAAAACATTTAGCAATTTTTATTTAAAGTCCAGCTAACACTAAATGTTTATTTTCAATTTGAGTATATTTCTTTCCGTTTCACAATTTTTCCTTTTAAAGTTCCCCAGACAGTAATTACTGATCTATATCAAATTCTCAAGTTATATGATATAAGGCTTTTGGACCTCAGTGGAGCACCTTTAATAGTTCACATATCTATTGAGTTACTTTACAGCAAAACCCACGAAGACCCAACCTGAAAACTTATAATTGCTTCAAATATGAAATGCTGAAGTTTGCATTTGAACATTGTTTCATTTGTATTTATGTATCACCTGAGGAAGCTGAATAAAGCGAAACATGTTTTGATACTTAATTTGTGTTGGTTTTTGATCCAATTATCCTAACATTGTACAAAGAAACATTAAACATGGGCATAAATTTTGAAGATCGTTTTTTCCTTGTGAACAATAATGCTGAAATTAAACATGGGCATAAATTTTGAAGATCGTTTTTTCCTTGTGAACAAAAATGCTGAGTACATTGTAATTTATTAAACTTGACAACATTCTGGATATAGGCATTACAACCATACAGATTCATGCATATCAAACATAACACTAAAGCTAAAAGCTAAAAAGAAAAAAATGTTGACATTGAAAACAATGGCTAAAAATTCACACTATTTATAAAGGAAAATTCCTAAAATCTGACTTGACATAACATATAACACTTTAGTTAGGTGGGTAAGTCAATAATGTAAACCATAGAAAAAATGTTTTAAAAGGAAATGTTTGATTTTTGAAAACACATGAAATGATGTATTACTATGTTTACTAAATACATAGAGGATATTTGTTTATTTTGCATGTAAGATTGAAATATAATTTCACTGAGTGAACACCAGATGCAATATTTTCACGAGTGGCGTAGCCACGAGTGAAAATATAAAAGCTGGTGTTCACGAATGAAATATATTTCAATCTTATATGTAAAACAAATAAATTTTCTTTTTATTTTATGCTTTTTTAGTGATTTTAAGTACCTTTTTACTGATTTTGCCGCGTAACGTCGCGCATTCTCCTTTGTGACGTCATTATATCATGACGTCACATCATAAGTTTTGAAATATAGTTCTGTTAAATTTCTTTAATTTTGTTAAATTTTTCACATGGTGTATGATGACATTGACTTTCTTTTCCTAAATAAGCAAATTTACGTATGACGGCATTTAATTCTGCCTGTTATTCCATTTGGTTATGATTTTCTTTTCATCCGCATTCAGATAAAGTCCGGCTACAGTGAAAATTATATTTTATAAATTTCACTAGTGGTTTATCAGAATATAATCATCTGATATATTGTAATAAAACACTGGAAAGCATGAAATAAAGATAAAAAAAGTAAAATATCAATACCGGTACAAAAAAAAAAGATTAAGAAAAACAATACTGAAAATAGAATTTGAACACAATTCTTAATAAAATGTTGACTAAAGATGTTTTTTATTTAAAAACGGAAGAAAATGAATGGCTGTTAAGCTAAAGCTAAAATTTCAGAAAAAATATTCATTTATTAAATTGCAAATTTTTACATAATTCTTTCTTGGTTAGTTTTTTTTTTATTATTTACTTCCATTATGTATACAATCATATTAGGTCTTTTACCTAAAAAATACATGCAAGAAATATAACAGAGAAACTGTCTATGTAAATACTTTTTTTATGCAAAATTTAATCAACTTTTCAATTTTTTTGAAATGTACATAGCAAAAGCTATCTGTAACAGTTTACTGTCTTCCAGCTATTACAGTTTATCAACAAGCTTATCTAAATCAGTTAAGTTATGACTGGTAACAACTGACTAATGTGCACAGTGGCATATTAAATGAAATTCAAAAATTTCAGGGAAACAAACAGTGTAATTGACTGTAACAAAATTTCAGACTGTAAAATATAGCAGGAAAAATCACTCATGTAAAAATAACATATTTCATATTTCCCCATTTCGGTTACGCATTTTCTACATTCCATGAATACATTTGCAGAAGTCCAAAAAAAAAGACAAAATAAATGACTAAAGTTCAGTGCAGCATGGAAAACATAAAGAGCATGACAGAAATTTATGATCACATAACATGCAGTTATTAAACTAAAATAAAGTATTTTGTCACCTTCATGCAGTAACTGGTTAACTACTATTAAATTTAGAAGGACTTAACACGTTCTTGCACTTGGTGGACAAAAATTTTATTCTCTGCATGATATGGACCAGAAAAGAGCCATGGTCAGGTCACAATTTTCCATTCCTGTTTAATAACAATATTTCATGTCCAATAGATGGTGAGATCAGTTTAAAAAATGCTGTTTTATGTGGACTTTAAAATGGGCGAAAACATAATGAAATTATTACAAAGTCAATTTCATTGGGAGAAAAAAAAACACTTAAAAAAGAACTACAAAATCTCTATGATAAATAGATATATTGGTTAATTCACAGTCAGTCACTGCATTTCTAAAAATATTTCAAATATTAAAATTTCAATCCAAAAAATTAATAATTTGTATAAATACAGTTCATCATAATTTTATGCATTAGAATTATTCATAAGACATAGATAAAATTCATTTTAAAAATCAAAGCTATTGCTTAAAAACAATGCCTTTAAAAATTCTCAATAAAAACATAAAAAGGTACATCATGTATGTATATATCTTTGAAGTATTAAACTACCCTGTGGCAATTCATGTCATTTAAGTGTCAGATACCTTTTGAAAGAGTATATTATATCATGTCAATCATTTGGCAGACATATGTATGATAAATGCAAGTGTTTGTAAGCTCCGAAATATTCAAAACATTCATTTTGCACCAAAGCTACCTTTAAAAGCTTACAACATCTAGATTATCATTATTTACAGATTTAAAGAAATAACCCTTCCTACCACTTCCTACTCATTATTCAGCTAACGAAAAGAAACACGGTGTTCAGAAGAAGACTTTAACCTTTGCATAGTGTTTTAGTTTAAAGGCCATGCTATGTAGTTTGTAAAACATTGAAAATGGGCCAGAATGACAGGCAGGTAAAACTTGCTCACAAGCCCCTTTTATGCACATAATTAACCATTGACAAAGTTTCAGTGAAGGAAAGAAGATGACATGATAGATAGTTTCTTTTCAAACAATAATGAAATCAAAATGTATGACATGAAAAAAGGCACATTAACTTTTTTATACATAAAACTGCATACAGACTTGAGAAATAATTCCTTTGCCCTATCAAAAATTCCACGATATTCTGTGATTAAATACAAAATGTATAAAAATACTAAAATGTACAAACTTTTCAAACAACAGTTATACCACCTGACTACATTACCTAGTATCTATACATGTACATCATATACAAATATTTATTGCGTTAGTCTGTTAGTAAATGATGACCTGGGGGGGCCCTGATGGATGTCTGAGATTTAAAGTGCTGCCTTTGAGCTACCTGCAACTTGTACATGTAACCTGTAACCTGTTAACTGCTACTTCGAGACAAGTTTTGATAACCATGCCCAGATGTCGGTGAAAAATGCAACAATGGCAACCCAGACCTTCTCAAAACTGTTGAAAAAAAGAATACACACACTACATGTAGAAATAGTTAAGCAGAATTTTTCATCCACTTTAAAAAGTAATACACTAATAGATAATAACTTGTACAAGATTTATAGAATTACTTTGTTTCTTTCCTTGTCATAAACCAATATCTTGGTGATTCATCCACCTGACCAGCTTTCCTTTCATAAATCATGTGGGTTTTGTAGTCAGTCAATTGTGGAGAAATTGGAAATTACTTGTTTGTTTTCCATGTTAGGTTAGGTGAATTGGTCGCAGAGATATGACAAAAAACATGTGTTAAAAAAACACTGAAAAACTTTTAATTTCAACATGCCTTTCCGGCCAATTGTAAAATTAATATTATGAGCATTAACATCAACCCCATTATCACATAATTTGTTTAGCAATCCTCAATTAACTTAAAAAATTAAGATGAAAACATGAAAAACTTACTCAACATTTTTCTCCAAAACAAAGCTGAGGAAAATAATTGCGATAGTTGCACATATTATGATGGCTGGGTAATCCGATTGGACGAGGCATCCGCAGCACTCTTTCATCTTGTTCCAAGGGGCACAGCAAACTTGCATCCAGCCTGCACACTTTGAAGATGTGACGGATTTAGGTGGCTCATTGCTGGTGGTTGTGGTCTTCACCTCAGATGTTCTGGTCACATATGTGCTGCGCTGCGTAGTACTTGGTGTTAGCACTGACCTCTGAAATGAAACAAGGAAAGAAGACTTCATTACAAGACCAATATTTTCAGAAACAAACTATTTTCACAATTTATTTTATGAATTTGATTTCCCAGAATTTCAGTAGAAACTGATAATTCAAGGTACCTCAAGTCCAAATTGGATTTTGAAACTGTCACTGTTATGAATTTCAAGACTAAATGACAAGAGTCTTTAGCTAACAGCTTGCCTAGCACTATAGTATACTGGTGACATGCTACTATCATAAACAGAGGTCAACAGTTGAACAAGTTTATTCTGCAGTACACAGGATAGCAAGTTTTTTTTATCATAATTATATCATAATATCATATTAACTTCCCCCCTCTTTAAATGGAAAGCCACCTGGCCTGCCACTACTTTAAAGTCTAACCTTACTTGTGAGACAAGTGTAACACTACAAATGGCTTTTGATCACAGTTTGCCTTTGCTCAGGGGATAATATCTCGAGATTTTAAGAGCAACTCTTACTATATTATCATTATTTTTCTACTTATTCACTTTAAAAAATATTCAATCAAGGCTCATTATCTCGAAACAAAACCCATTGCAAATGGTCATAAAATAAATCTCATTTTTCTTAGTTTACTGAGCTTTTTTCATAGAAAAATGAAAATGGTCCGAGAACATAAACAAGAATAATACCGTCAGTGTTTCTGTTGTCTTCTGAAACCTGCCTGGCGATGTGGTGACTGTCTCTGTTTTAGACTCCTCCTTGGTTGGAGAGGACTTTCTGGTAGTTTTAGTTTTCGTCACTGATTTACGAGCAGGAGAACGACTGCCAGATTTACGAGTCCTGCTTCTTGAACTGCTTCTAGACCTTGATCTGGATCGGCTCTTCTTTTTTGGAGTCTTTTTCTGTGACTGAATTGAATGCAATATATCATATTAAAATAATTATAACAACTATAGTGTTCTCCATTTATTCTTCTCCAGAATTTATTGCAGGCTTCTTTAGACAGTAATATAAAATTATGAAATTGCATAGCAGCACAAGCCACTTAGAATAGAATGACCCTACTCGTATAGAATATTCTGGTTACTTTTGAAGTTTCACTTATTTTGGCCCCTGATCATAGTGTGAAAATTCCCTGTAATCCGGGTTAAATAATCTCTTTAAAACATGACTCAACAAGACCATTATGATCATGATGTGTATTTAAAGTCAATTTGCAACTTTGGCTCCTGCACTACAATTAAACCAAATTATGTCAAATATATCAGTCACATCATTAATTTGTAGCATATAAAATATCAGGATCTTAGATAAGGTTTAGTTTTAATATATTGCTCAGTGTCCAACTCAGAAAAGAAAATATAAAATAAATTAAAGGGAACCAATGCCACTAGCATAATATTTTACGTTACAAAAAAAGAAGTAAATAACAACATTAATTATTATGACTCACTGTTATTTTGGCATAGAAATTTGCAATAGCCTGATTGGCACCAGAAAGATTTTTCACTGGTTCCCAGGAATCCTCTGATGAGCCAAAATTTTTCCATCTCACTAAATACTCCAACCCTTTTCTAGACTTTCTTTCTCTAAGAATTTCATCAACCTGGAATACACGCATAAACACTTTCAATATGATCTACGTAAATAACCGAGGTATATCAAGTGAAAAACACAAATTGCTTCCCTTATCTTCGAGTAAAATCCATACCGCTTATGCTACAACAATACAAAATAAGCCGTTTTTAAACCGCTAGTTTGTTGTGATCAAATGTCCGATTTTTTTTTCCCCCCCTATATACCATTACTAGGAAAAGGTCACCTAGTTGCCTTAACGCTACGGAGTTTTACTAGGACATGCTGTGGAACAACCACAATGTCGAGTTCTGTAACAATAAAAGCTATTTTGCTACTCTTTACTGGGATCCTAGATATTACCGGACAAAATATGATGTTTTTTCGTTGTAACTTTTATTTAAAATAATAGAAAAGAATGAAATTTTACCCAAATAATTGTGGGTTCTTAATATACGTAAACATTCCTTTATCAAACATAAAATTAAACTTTTGACCGTAGAAATGTGTCTTTAAAGTAGGGCATTAAAAGAGGAAAAAAATCGTGCAGACAACTCAATTTACCGGACATTGTGTTTCAAAATATTTTGTGGTGTTAAATTGAAATTTAGCAAGGAAACTATGACTATTGAATGGCAATGTTAAGATACTGGAAAAAAACAGTATGTCACTAAAATAGACACGGCAGCCATGCTTGTTACGAAGAGGCCAATATAGGGGTGTAATTGAAATAAACACTATTAACTCAACTTACCTATTGAATCTTCATGATTCTTAAAAGTGTGACACATTTTGATATTCAAATGGAATTCTGTTCTTTCTCATACAGTTTCCTTTTGATCATCATGTAGCATGTTGCAAAAGCCATAAAGTCTATTTTTTGTACATTTCATGTAGAGTTTCCTCCCATGTGCGTAACCCGTTTCCTTATATGTGTTTTTAATTTGCATTTCTTTGTAAAAGACAACAACAAGATATTGTTTGAACGAAATTTTAAATTATTTTTTTTCCTAAAAATATGTTACGATTGTCTCCTGAGTTAACTTTTACAAGCATTAAAGTAAAATCTATCTAAAATAAGTTAAATAACCCATTAAGGGCCTCAATATTCGGGAATGCGCAGAACAGATTATTCCCCCGCATGAACATGTCATGGAATAACTAGTAAACTAAAGGGTATGTTAGTAAATAAAGAACTGAATCAACAATATTTGCCTGAGAGTGGTTTTGTTGTTATTTACTTTGCAGTAGAAAGTGTGTGTACGATTCAGACCGGATGATTTTTGAATTGAAGCAAAAAATAAAGCCTTGTTTGACAGGAATAGATTTTGTCCAGTAAACTGATTGTCCGGTAAACATGTAGGATCCCAGTACACACCATGCATTTAGAAAATTGTTAACATTCTTCATCTACCTTACATACAATCTTAAATAACTTACATTTTTTTTTCTTACACTCAACCCAAAATAGTTATTTTGATTTTTTTTTTCTTTTCAAATTTTTTTTTTTTCAACTTCAATTTTTTTATATGGGCACCAAGACTGGACGAGCACCTGTGTTTTATAGTACTTTGCTCCTTAAATTTCTTATGAACTAAACAATCTATATCCTAATTTATTTTTTTAATAGAGGAACGAGTTGACCTGTGCCGAGTTGACCCGTGCCGAGTTGGTATAGGGCCGAGTTGACCCTTTACCTTACTGATGGCAGTCGGCAAACCGAAAATACCGAACATCACCCAAATATTTAAGAAAGTCGAGATGTTCTACCTTTTATCTTAAAAATCTGCAGAACACGTAGGCAATACTTAACAGGCTGGTTAAGACATGTTTTCAATATACTTATACATATAAATAGAAGAAAAAATACCTCGTAATTGTCTTCACTGCCCGACATTTTGAATTTTGTACACTCCCATGAGCCTTTACGGGAAGGTTTACGGAAAGTCGTAAAATTATTTTTCGTTCACACAATAACTCGACCCAAAAAAAGGTATTAAACTACTAAATTTAAAAAAGAAAAAAAATGCAATGAGAAAATTTTGTCTATCTATGGCAATTGATAGAAAATAAACTTGCTGTTGCGGCGGTTACGAGACCCAAAACGGTACAAGTCAACCCAGCCCCAAATTGTTCAACCCGGCCCCAAACCGATGTTATTTCTGGTCAACCCGGCCCCATTTTTTATTATTTATTTTGCTTTAAAATGTAAACACTTATCAAGAAATAAAATAAAAATTAACAACAAAAACAACAACAAAAGTTTAACGATGATATTTTTTATCATTTATTTACTCTAAACACTTTATCGTAGTCTTGACTGCTGCGTCCTGACATGGCTACAAAAACCAACGGCACTTGTTTGGAACAGTCTCCGCGTCTGACGAATGCGCGGATTGACAACAACATCATAAATGGAGCTCGCATCACCTGCAAAGATATAGTGATGGTTATGTAAAGGGATTTCAACTTGAAATTATAGAAATGACTGTAAATCAATGTAAGTCATGATCATTTCAGATGTATATTGACTAAATGATTTTAAATTACCTTAAAAGTACCGTCAATGTACCAGCGAAGTGCCTGAGATAATAAATCTAGCTGGTTGTCCGTCGCGAAAATAAGGTGACGTCTGTCTTCAACCTTAACCTCTCTACGATAGAAGTCATGGGAGATAGCATTCTCATCTAACTGGAAAAAAGAAATATACCAAAATAGGGATATACAGTCAAAACTGTTCTAAATAGCGTTCTTCTTTATACAACGTGGTCTATATAATCTGTAACGGTCATAATAAATTCCTATGTATAGAGTCGAGATGCAGGTATAGGTTACAGTCCTCTTGCTATTTAGTATGATACAAGTATTGAATATAAATTACGTTTTATGTTCAAAATAGGGAAGTATATAAACAACCCAGCATACCTCAAAATCCATATCTACAGGCTCATCTGGTCTTAACTCTTGCCGATAGCGGTTGACGACCCTTGCTACGTAATCAGGTCGCAATTCACCCACGTTCACCAGTTCTTCAACACCATCCGATGCGTTAGAAACGATCGATAGTGGCAACCTCTTTCGCCTGTAAAAAAAGTTTGTAAACATTTATAAGAATCACACAAATTATAATATAAATAATTTAATTTTCATGCATTCAATTGCATACTTTTTTATTATAGGGTAACACCAAAATTTACTTAAACTGACCACGTTTAAAAAAAAACGTACATTGTTTTCATAACCAATTTTTAATTTGCTTTGAGAAATTTTATTATTTTTATTGATATTATTTCAGAATATTACACACCTTTGCTGTGACCTTCGCACGAATGGCTTGTTCCGGTTCTGGAGCATGCACGTGGTCTTTGCCATTCGCCGAGAAGGTCTCACCCTTTTTGCGTTACACGTGCTGGACAAGTCAACTTCGCACTTCTTACAGAACACATCCACACCGTGGACTTAGGTCGTCGTTCCTACAAATAAGATATTCATGGTTTACAAAGCAGAATTTTGAAGCTATTGAAAAGTGATAATTTATTATCATTTATTTTAAAAAAAACAAAGCAAAACAATTAAGTATTAATAGATAACATGGTTTTTATCTATCTATCTATCTATCTCTATTCTATTCTATTCTATTCTATTCTATTCTATTCTATTCTATTCTATTCTATTCTATTCTATTCTATTCTATTCTATTCTATTCTATTCTATTCTATTCTATTCTATTCTATTCTATTCTATCTATCTATCTATCTATCTATCTATCTATCTATCTATCTATCTATCTATCTATCTATCTATCTATCTATCTATCTATCTATCTATCTATCTATCTAATCTAATCAAATCAAATCAAATCAAAATTTATTTATTGTCGGTATACATATATAACATTTTACAAAACATAAGCTATGTATAGCTTTTGACCGACATACATGCATATAATGTGGGATGTAGACACTAAATGTAATAATTTAAAGTAAAATAATCATAATTAATAAATAGTAATGATATGCTAAGGATAACATTTAATTACTGTATCATAAGTGACTAAAATAATATATATCTAGATAAAAATGCGGAACATATTAGAACATACATAAAATAAGATTACATTAAAAGTGGGTGGATTCTGCTGATCTTGACCAAGGCCTAGCCTGGACTGTTATAGAAGAAAGGAAATAAAGAATTGAAAAGGAAAAGGATCACAAAAATGTGACCACTAATTAGGTTTTATAAATAAAAAAATCCCCAATTCAAAATTTGCAAGAAGTGATCAGCAGCCTCCTCAATAAGCAAACTTCGCAATAAGCTGACAATAAGCAAACCAAATTCAAGCATACTGGACAAATAATACATGTACATAGACATTATGTTGAGAATATTAACAAAATTTAAGCCAAATGTGAAATAAACAGATACATGTAAGTAAGCAGCAAAACAAAAGAAAGCAGGCAAGAAACAAAACTGAAGATGGAGCTAAACTATAATGCAGGTTTATTGACAGAAAGTACATGAGTAACTCTCTCCATTCCATGCACCAATTAAACTTTTAAATTGGTCATAATTCACTTCCATTCTGAGGTGTTGAGGAAGTGAATTCCATAGTTTAGGTGCATAGGAACGAAAAGAGTTGCTGCCATAACTGGCGGTTCTTACCTGAGGGATAATGGCTACATTTTTATACCTAAAATTAAAAGAATGAGTTTTTATATTAACGAGATTATGTAAGTATGTTGGTCCTTGTTTATGAATAATTTTATGAATTTCGAGGGCTATAGTTCTGATTCGTCTTAATTTTAAATTTGGTAGTTTAGATTTTATTAAAAGGGAGTCATAGTCTGATTGATAGTCATCATAAATGAATCTTAATGCTCTTTCTAGAATTTTCTCTAGTTTTTTTGTGTACTTTCCTCCACAGAAGTGCCAGGTGACAGGGCAGTAATTAAAGTTTTTAATCTATCTATCTGTCTATCTTCTATCTGTCTGTCTATATATACATGAAACAATCATTTTAGAGGCTTAAATATAACCAACTGACCTAAAAAAGCGCTGTTCCGGGTTTTCTAAAAAAAATATCTCCGTTGCGCCCGTTGCGCCAAAAAATCTCCAGTGTGTAGTTTAGTGGTACCCTAAAATTTGTGCTCCATGACCTTAACTAAATTATTATCACAACGTGTAGTTTTATCAAAAACACCAATTTTGCAAACATGCCTGTTGATACCAAAAGAATTACCGGGCCAGAAACATCTTTAAGCCCATATTCATTCTGCAAACCAAAGGAAACGAAACTTCTGGTATTGTTTGACGGTTTACTGACATAATTTAAATGGAAATTATCTCAACCATAGGTGTTCGGGGCTTTGATTGGTCACTACCCCTACCCCCGCCCCTCCCCCCCCACAGGCGCTCCCCGCCCCTCCCCCCCCACAGGCGCTTGTCACATAATCAAATATTTTACATAATCGGTCTATATATGTATATAAAGATATAAGGCCCCCAACGAAACAAAAACATCATGCGGAACAAACAAGAACAATGCTGAAAGAAACGACCAGATCACGGTTATCTCTTTCTGGTCGCCATCTGAAAGGATCAATCCAAGCGTTAAAGCTTTTTATTTCATTAAAATTCTTCAAATAGCAAAGAAATGAGTAAAAGTTTTAGAAAATGCCAATATTTTCAATCCATGTCGTTTTCGACGTCCAATCTATTTATGTATACAAACACGATTTCTGGTCGATTTCTACGAAATAAATAGAAAACATCTAAAATTTCCACATAAACCAGGGTTCCCTCTGGGTCAAAATTAGTTTGCGCCACCAAATTCGCCAATCAGAAAAAGTTGGAGCCAATGGCTCCAAAGTTGGAGCCAATGGCTCCAAAGTTGGAGCCAATAATTCTGCAAGGGAGACATGCCTATCTTTGCTAAGATATGCTAGCAGTTATATATCATTATGATTACAAACACATATTTATAATATTTCATTTTATTACAGCTGCACATGTTTATTATCTAAAATATAGACATACTATTATGTGGTTTTCAAATTCTATTTAAATAAATACACATGACAGCATAAATGTAATCAAGAACATCATGTTAAGTAAGTCATCCTGTTTTCCACCGTTTTGCCAGTGTAGCAGTTCTTCTCACAGGCTGGACTGAGCCAAGATCTTTCACAGCTTCTACACGACAATCTGGTGATCTACAGATACAAAATTAAAAAAACAAAACATTACTATAAATTGACTTCATCTAAAAATCAATGAGAACAAAATATGAAATAGATACTAAGTATTTTTAACAATGAAAAATATTGTTTATTTTAATAGGGTTTGCATATGAATAGACACTTCAGCCCTTTACAATCAGAAATGAAAATATTAACATTGCAGTAACAGTGGCTTTAGATCAGTCATTAGTGAAATTATTCTTTTAATTGTCATCCGATTTAATTATTCAAACTGTAATTATTTGAGTCAACTTACCTAAAGTTTAAGGTTTGTCAACATCACGGACGATCTTTCACTTCTCTGTTCGCTACTAAGTAACTAACACCTGTTGACCACACATGTAATTATCAGCGTAAATTGTTCCAATTAACAAATTACCACTCTCATCTTCACATGTTCCCAAAGTGTCACACAATTGATGACATAATTGATTATACGGTACCGATAAACAAACTAATAGCGCGTGACCTTTCACATTTGGGCCGCTTATGTAATTGACGCGGCCGCTTATGACATTAAAGTGTACTAGTTGTCGGATGCTTTTATCTTACGTTGGCGCCAGTAAAATTCGCCAATTAAAGATTTTATGCGCCAGAATTAATATTTTGTCGCATTTGGCGCCATTGGCGAGCGACAGCGGGAACCCTGATAAACAAACTCTTTTTCTATCAATCTGCGAAGTCTAAATTGAACTAGAGCCCTCTTTGTACGCAAATATTTAAAAGATATTGGTTGTAGAAGCGGAGGTCAAGTAAAATGCGCCATTTGGAATTTGAAGTGACAGATAAATGAAGCAAAGAAATAGTATTATACGGTTGGTCAATAGTATTCCGGTAATTATCTTAACCAATCAAATCCTTATATAATATTCAGAGCGGAACAGTATATACATGCGCTATACATGGCGATAAAATACTGTCACAAGCGAGATCCTTGTGTATTTTTTAATGAATTACGTACGAAGAGGGCATTTGATCAGTGAAGACTTCGCAGATCGATAGGAAAAAAGTTTGTTTATGGAACATACGTGGAAAATTCTAGCCGTTTTTTGTTTTTTCGTAAAAATCGATCAGAAATCGTGTTTGTATACATGAATGGACTGGACGTCGAAAACGACATGAATTGAAAAATAATGGCATTTTGCGAAACTTTTCCCAATTTCTTTGCTATTGAGGGATTTTAATGAAATAAAAAGCGTTGGCACTTGGATTGATCCTTTCAGATGGCGACCAGAAAGAGATAACCGTGATCTGGTCGTTTATTGCAGCAGTGTTCTTGTTTGTTCTGCATGATGTTTTTTTGTTTCGTTGGGGGCCTTATATCTTTATATACATATATAGACCGATTATGTAAAATATTTGATTATTGTGACAAGCGCCTGTGCCCCCCCCCCTCCCTGCCCCCCTTCATCCAATCTACAGCCAGCCCTCCTACCTCCCAAACCATGTAAACTGCAATATTTTTCATTTGAAACATGTTTTAATATTTGGTATATGCTTTTAATTCAATTTCAAAAAAATGAAGGAATGGATGCATATATGCCGTTGACCCGTATTTAGCTGAATATTTGAAAATTACTAAAAGGAAAATTACCTTGTATATCAGAGACTTGTTGTGTTTATGTCTTACATTTGTTTTAAAGTAAAAAACTTCTGTAAAATATCAACTCATTCATGATTGATTTATAAAAGATATGACATTTTAATCTGATTCTTATTCCATATAATCCAGGTAAATGATAATCAAGAAAGACATGATGGCAGAAATGCAGACAAAATTAGACCAATATGTAAGTATGGCATGTTTATAAAATCTGGTTATTAGCTTTATTATATTCTTAAACAAAGGAATTAGTACTGATCAATGGAAAATAGTGTGTCTTTTACTTGTCAATTAATGATTTTGCCATAGAACCAACATAGAGCTTGTCATTTTTATGCTAACATATGTCTGTATTGTTTCGTTAATAGCGGCAAGATCATAATGCGATGGGGCATTCCAGATATATCAAATAAGCTTGGATAAGGCATCTATTCATTTTGAGGTTATTATGTCAAGGTCACAATGACACTATTGATGTGAAATAGCTTGACTGGGATTCAAATTCAGGATGCTCTAAATTAATACCATGCAGCAACTCTACCAAGTGAGCTACCTAACTGCCTACAAATTCTCTTCACTATAATTACTGATCACCTCTATACCATGATATTGTTTGTTTCAAAGTTTTTGTCTTGATCCATTTTTAGTTTTGAAAACTGGAGTTGTAAGTCAAGCTCAAGGTTCAGCATACATTGAGCAAGATGGGACCAAGGTCATCTGTGCAGTGTAAGTATTTTGTACATATAATGTGAAATTTGGTTAACTACTACAATTGTACATGGATTATGGTCTTGGATATGTAAGGAATATACATAAAAGCTATACCTTCCACATTTCCTCAAGTAATTCTAAACACCATAGTATGTGAAAGCATTTCAAAATTTTTAAGACTCTTGTACAATTTCATGCTTGCACCTTTGTCCTTTTATTAGGGGCTGATAGTTTTTTTTTATAAGGCCTCATCCTCAACCGAAAATTACCTCATTATTTCCCAATTTCAAAACAATTTCCCAGCAGCTGCCCAGATATAGAGTGTTTCAAATTTGGAGAAACAATGTGGCTGTTTTGGTTGCAACAGGTAAAAGGTTAAAGGTCAGGTTGATATCATGTTAAATACTAGTTTATATGAGCTATTTATTATGTCAGGTATGGACCTAGAGCAGTGATTAGAAAGGAGGAGTTTAGCATGAAAGGCCAGCTAAGTTGTGAGTTTAAATTCACAACTTTCTCGTGCGCACGACGTAGACAGTATCAACAAGACACTGAGGAGAAAGATTATTCTGTACAATTGTTAGAAGCTCTAGAACCAGCTGTGTTGCTGCATAAATTTCCGAAGGCTCAAGTGAATATATACGTGACTGTGCTTCAGAATGATGGAAGTGCATTGGCTGCGTCAATAACTTGTGCTTCTGTAGCAATGGCAGATGCAGGCGTAGAGATGTACGACCTTGTTACAGGTTGTTCTGCTGTATGTGTTAATAGTTATACTACTTTGTTCTTAGCTTTACTTCTTTAACAAAAAAAGGGGCTATGCATTAAACATTATATACTGAATTTCATGAACAGCATCCAACTTCACATAGGTTCGAAATGGAAAAGTTCATCAATTCATGTCTTTATATCTAACGCAATTCTACTTAGAAATGAAAGTTTTTCAATAATGGAATTCAGATGTAGAATGCAGAAATAAATACAAGCTATTTGAAAAACATATTCCTCTGTTTCTATTAATATGTAACATTGACAAAAGCAATCTCACAGTTTTGTAAATATTTTAATTTGCCATAATTTGCTTCTGTATTTAAATATGCAGAATATCTTATATTGACTTGTCTTTTAATTTGGACACAAACATTGATCAGTTTTAGGGAAAATTAAAAGAAAAACTAACTTGCTAGCAAACATTGTAAGATTATGATCCCATGGTTTGAAAAGGCGGCCCAAAATTGGTTTTTCTGGGCCTCCAGAAGGGTAGAAGGGTGTGTTTATCTTGGTCTGCACTGGTGGCATGACTGATTCAGTTGCTGCCAGCAGGGTGTAGGTTAATTACTGAACTGAATTTTGCTTCAGCTAGTGCAGCTGAGAATAAACATTAACATGCATTACAAACTCTACAGTACAGGAACTGGTTTAATAAAATTAACCCTACAACATTGTCAAGTTTTGTTGTGCCTGTGTCCAGTATTCTATATTTGCTGTCAAATTGGAAATATTCACTTTCGTTTTGTTTTTCAGAGGCTAGCTGGTGACCTGTTATTGTTAGATCCCTGTACACATGAGGAATATTCATCAAAGGTATTATTATACCCCCAAAAACGAAGTTTGGGGGGGTATATAGGAGTCACCCGGTGGTCGGTCGGTCGGTCGGTCCAGACGTCCGTTGCATTTTCCTTGTCCGGAGCATACTGTAAAATCATTATTATTCGTGGGGCACGAATTTTCGTGGTTTTCGTAGAGGTGTCATCGATAAGGATTTTTGTATCGATATATCGGTAATGAATTATCGGCGATACAGCGATATATCGATTGCCAGGCTAAATTTTAGCTTTCAAGTCTTTTTAAATGTTTCCTAAGGACACTGACAAAGCAGTTATATATAGACAAATGCAAAAAAGATAAACTATGAAAACTGAACAATTTGTTTCTTTTTTTATACAGCTAAAAATGAAAACTAATGACTAGTAACTATAACGTTTAAAGCCTTTTCCATTTTACTTTTGTTGTTGTTGTTGCTATTACGTAGTTACTGATCATGCTAAATCCCGTCCATGCCGCTCTAATAAAGTCGGGTTTAATTGGCAAATTGTAGTGTTTAGAACCTGAATAATTATTAAAGTTTAACATTTTGTAATCATAATTTTTACAAAGAAACACTGACAAAATTTTCTTGGCATTTTCCCTTTTTAAAATCTGAATTGAGGGGTCTTGACATCCACTTAGCAGACGTGCAAGATTACAACGAAATTTGGCAGCATTCGTTAAAAACACTGGGAGGTAACTTTGGCATTGATTTCCGTTTTCACTTTTAGAAAAAAAAATGTTTCTGGCATCCATAACTTTACATGTCGCTTTTATTTTGACGTTTTGCGACAGTAAACAGGTCTGTCAGTTCTATAAAACCTGTTCGCTGAAGTCTCTTTAGCTAAAAATATATGTGCATTTGATATCCGATATTTAAAAAATGGAATCGATATCGAATCGGATAACAAAGATCGCTGATACACCGATATCGATTGAATCGATGACACCCCTAGGTTTTCGTGGGTAGGTCAATCCACGAATTTAAGATCCCACAAACTTTTATCCCAACAAATATTCTTACCCAGTCTTTGTTCTATATCTTACAAACATGCGTTGGCTCTTTTCCGGCCGATATTTCGTGAAATGGATGTATCTACAGACAGATAATCAGGTTAGTGACTTATTAAATCCGTTTACAATATTTAAGAAACTTGAAAGAAAACTCGATTATAATTATGTCCTCAATTTACTGTCACAAATGTCGCATATACGTACTTGATCGTTGTAGTCTACTAGGACTTGAATATGTCAACAAGAATACTTGACATAATCGAGTAAATATGGGATCCCAGGCAGTGCAATTATTAGCGCTAATAATAATTGTCAGTTTGCTTTTATGTCTTTGATATTAATGTCGTAAGTACACAAAACTATAAAAAAAAAATACGATCGCTAAAACAGATTTATTGTACATTCTTTTGTCGTTTTAAATAATCCAGTTAATATGAATTTTAATCTGTATTTGTGCGAATGCTATTCTGTCAACATCAAAGACGCCACAGACTTTTACAAGATCCACACATACTTGTGTTATTTACCGAGATTTATTTATATGCATGTAAATTTACACAGTCGCTGTGACGTTGCGTGTAGTTGCTGTCAAATATGTTAAGACCAATTCAGGGTGTAAATTTTTAAACTCGCTGGTTAAAACCTGTCATGTGTCGTATAAATTATGCGATGTTTACATCGGCGAATTACAGGGGCAGTGTGTCCAATGGAGGTGCATATCATGTCACATACATGTGTTAATTGCAGTCAATTATCGGCAGTAACTGTGCTATATTAGTTATGCCCAGAGGCAAGGATTAAATTTATTGACAAGCGCTGTGTGACAAGTAAAGATATGTACATGTTGTAAGTAAAAATGTTCGGCGATTAAGTTTAAGATTATTTTGCATTAGGTTACTGAATTTTTTTAACAAGAAAACGAAAATCCACGAATTTAAGAACCCACCAAAATGCCCTTTTTGATAAAACCACGAAATTTCATGCCCACGAATTTAAGTGAATTCGCAGTAACTTGAAGACTAATGGTTGGAATTCAATATAACTACATACAATGGTCAAGCACATTGAGAGGAAGTGCAGTGCACAAGAACCATAACTCCATTTTGATAAAATACAGAGTTACTGCCCTTTGATACTTTTCCTTGTCCGGAGCGTAACTTAAAACGTACTGGTTGGAATTCAAAACAACTTCATACAATGGTCAAGCACAATAAGAGGAAGTGCAGTGCACAAGAACTATAACTCCATCTTCAGTATTTATAGAGTTATTGCCCTTTGTTCCTTTTCCTTGTCTTTCTGGTCTTATTACAGAGTAATTCAATAAAACTTCATCAATGGCCAACCACATTGAAAGGAAATGCAACATACAAGAACCACAACTATCTTTAATTGCCCACAACCATAACTCTCTATTTCAATTCTTTTACAAGGTAACATCCTCATTTCCATAGCAGTCTTGTGGGGGTATTAATCACATTTAGTGATAGTTCTAGTTTTACTGGCTATTTTCTCTCTTCATTTCTCAATTAACTAAGTCTCACTTTGTGTTACTTAAATCAACTGGATATGACGACTTACAATTCCGGCTCTTTACCACTGTAGGTTTGAATCCCACCAGGAACTTTTTCATGTGAGCAAGCTATCTATCCAGCATTTGGAAGGTTGATGGGTTCTGCTCAGATGCCAGCTAGTGCATGAAATAATGCACAGAGGGGCACTTGTGGTCTTCCTCAAACAGGAAAGTTGGAAAATTGCCAGTTACAAAACATTTTAATGATAAACCATACTATATATTGTTCTACAGTAACTTGTAATAAACATAGTGAAATTCCAGTTATTAAAGGAAAAACTTTTGGCCAAAATTTTGCCCTTCTTTATTCAATAATAAATATCCTTATAGTGAATGTCATGTTTATAAGGAATTATCGATTATAAGAAGTTTTTATTCAAAAGTTGGGCATGTTGAAAAATGTTATTGATATACATGTAAGCAAATTTTTTTTACACATCTTTGAATTTTACATGATTCAGTGAACGATACAGTCCATCTTCTGGCCGTTTCTTAAGAAACAATACAAAACATGCCATAACTAATGACAGATAAAACCTTTCTGAAATAAAGACGTTTACTGAAACAAACTTATACATGCATTAAGTTCAAAGAAATCATCCTTCATTTTCAATGATCATACGGGGCTCATGCTGGCAGGATCCAATGAGCAAATTTGTTCCAAATTATTTAATTGGCTCAAGAAAATCATGATTTTCTCAAACTAACATAAAGTATGACATTCAGAATCTCTAGTCTAAATTCAGCATTTGCTATTTTAGAATGGGACAGAACACATTACAACAAAACACTACTTTTTGTAGTTCATTGACTGGTTTATACTTTTAACACCCCAATTGAATAAAAAAAAAAATAATCGAGTAATTGTATGTAATTTAAACATGAAACAATCATTAATAATGCTATTGAAAAAATAACCATGTTGACCTAAAGAATTTTACTTAAGTTTTATATTTATATATTTGCAGGAGCATTCGGCAGTAAACAATGGCAGTGTGACAGTAGGTTTGATGCCTTCATTAAACCAGATATCTGCTGTGACATCAAAAGGGGAAATACAGTTTGAACACATGAAAATGGTCAGTTACATTTGGCATACAATGATAATTCATTTATATAAATTATGCATAGTTTAGTGTATAGTTTCAATGTTTAAGTACAAATATATTTTTAAAGTGAATATTTTTGTGATATCATTGTATGTTTACCATCTCAAAATCTTTAATTGTAGGTCAGTTTATATCTCATTAACACCTTGATATGCTGGAACTGAAGTTGATAAGCCTTTCCCACCAGTATTGAACCAGGCATGGCCCATGCAGTCTGACCAGGCTCTATACTTATCATAGCTCAATTTCTGTATTTTAACTTTTTACAAGACTAATTGTGTACACATAAAAGTGCCATTTAATTATCAGTTTTTGTTTTAAGATGTTTGATAATTTATACATTTCAGGCAATATCAAAATGTGTAGATATGTGCGTTCTGCTATACCCAGTCTGTCAGGAAAGTTTGGTCAAGTCAGTCAATACCAGTATAAAAGAAAATACCTGAAAATGTGGGATATACAAAACAACATGTGTTCATGAGAGAGTGTGGTACTACAGGTAGAATTGAGCTTAAATTGCTCAATGGGGTGTAAAAAAGGACAACAGTAATCTAAAGACAATAACTGAAAAGTAGAGGAATCCTTGAAACTGTCTTAATTTTTTTTGCCTTTTTTTATAGCTCACTAGAGCACATGATGTTCAAGGTGAAATATTGTGATCACCAACTGTCTGTTGCCCAATGTCTTTCCGCTCTTGTTTCACTGTTTTCTGATCTTAAGGTTAAGCTCATAAAACAAATGGGAAGTCTAAGGTTGGTCATGGCAATATAGTGTAACTGTAATAGTTACTAGTTAGTAAATTGTGAAAATTGTGAAACAGTCCACGCCTTTGCTATTATGAATTTTTAAATGTGTTAAAAATTCAAAATTATGAAAAATAAATAAAAACATTCACATGTTAATTCTGAAATATAAAAGAATGGACATGTAATACAATTTATTACAACTGCAGTCTGATTAAGTGTATTTAATGAAATGGAAAGAATAAATGACTAAAATGTAAGTTTGATCTATAGTATCTTTATTAAATACAAAATGTATTGTACTGAAATTCAGTTTTGTAATTTGTATTTTTCATTAGTTTAGAACTTCAATTTTCTGGTCTTTAGCAGTTTAAAACTGTCAACTAGAGGTTCTAATGTTTCGTCATTTAGATCATGTTGAGTGTGTGAGACACACATGACAGCATTAAGGTGTTTTTAGATTAGTCTGTTCTTCTATTTGGTCAGAATATTTCCCATCAATGAAAAACTCCTTTCTACAACAGCAGTTGAAGATGGTCATTTATTTTTCTTACAGTATCAAATGCTGAAAATATTTTACTTGTGTACTTGCAGCCTGGTTTTTATGCCCCCGCCATATAATGGCAGGGGCATATAGTGTTACCCTGTTCCGTCATTCCGTCATCATAAGTTTCCGTTCATTATCTTAATAACCCTTGCACATATTGAACTCAAATTTGACATATGGATATGTCATGAGAAAATACAGGTCAAGTTCGAAATTGGTCATGGTTCGATGATTTTTGGCAGAGTTATGCCCCTTTTACTTTGAAAATAATATGAAATTTTCAGTTTCCGTTCATTATCTCCCCAGCGGTACAACACATTCAACTCAAACTTGACATATTGATGTGTCATGAGAAAATACAGGTCAAGTTCAAATTTGGTCATGGTTCGATGATTTTTGGCAGAGTTATGCCCCTTTTACTTTGAAAATAATAGGAAATTTTCAGTTTCCGTTCATTAACTCCCCAATGGTACAACACATTCAACTCAAACTTGACATATGGATACGTCAAAGGAATGCGCAGGTCAAGTTCAAATTTGGTCATGGTTCAATGATTTTTGGCAGAGTTATGCCCCTTTCACTTTGAAAATAATATGAAATTTTCAGTTTCCGTTCATTATCTCCCCAATCGTACAACACATTTAGCTCAAACTTGACATATCGATACGTCAAAGGAATGCGCAGGTCAAGTTCAAATTTGGTCATGGTTCGATGATTTTTGGCAGAGTTATGCCCCTTTTACTTTGAAAATAATATGAAATTTTCAGTTTCTGTTTATTATCTCCCCAACAGTATTAAACATTCAACTCAAATTTGACATATTGATACGTCAAAGGAATGCGCAGGTCAAGTTCAAATTTGGTCATGGTTCGATGATTTTTTGGCAGAGTTATGTCCCTTTCACTTTGAAAATAATATAGATACATCTTAGGAATAAGCAGTTTAAGTTTGAATTTGGTCGTGGTTCAATGATTTTAGACAAACTTATCTTTCCTGAATGTTGGAAAAATTTTGAACTTTCAGTTTCAGCACTCATACTTTTGTGGAAATGTATATAGCCATTATGTTGGCTACAAATATGCAATATGCTATTTTTAAAAGGTTAAGACTGAATAATTTCAGTGCCTTGAACATTGTATAAAAATGGTTAAGACTGAATAATTTCAGTGCCTTGAACATTGTATAAAAATGGTTTGTGTTAACATTGAAAAGTTTTAAGGGCTTTGAACTTAGAATGAAAAAAATAATTTGTGCAAACAAATTTGGAACTAAATATTATAACATTTGAAATTTTGGCTGCATGCGGGGGCATCCGTGGCATGATGACACATTTCTAGTTTAAGAATAACGTTATTATAATATGTGCCATTCTTGACATCTTGAACATGACCATGATGACTAAACACCATTTTACCAATATGCTAAATCATGATTGTGATGAGTGATTGATTTCCTGATTTAAAATGAGAAATGATTGTAGCAATTACCATTATAAGCCATGTAGCTTAGGGGTTGCTTTCAAGGGTTGAGGCATATAAACCATTTATCTCTCCGTGATCGTAAGAGACAGCTTCTAACTCCAGTAGGTGAGGTGGTTTTGACATCTAGTGTTGTTTTGAAGTTTTGAAGATTGATAATTATCATTTTCTGTTGTAGAACTGTACCACACTTACCCAAGCAAATGCTAACTGAAGTTTTTATGTGATGCCAAACTGATATTAGATTAAATACATCTTATTTCCACCCAATAAAATACGTCTTATATTTTCACAGAATAAAACTCCAATACTGACAATATTTTAACATTATATTATCATTTCTTTAAATCATTTATTTCATAATTTATTTATTACAAAACTTATCTAGTAACAACTCACATGACTTTAATCCCAAATTTAATGTTTTGTGTAACAATCTTTTCTCACTCTACTTCTAACAAACAAATACCATCTTTTATATATGCAAGATATGCAGTGCTCTTGTAATTCTTTAAAAATTCATTTTTATTATTATGATATGTAAAATAGAATATAATTGGGAATTTCTGAGATGGCCTGTCTTCTCCCACACTCAGAAAGAGTTCTCTCTGTTGATGCAACTTTTAGTCATTGACTTTGATGAATGCCTAGCACTGTGTCGACAGTTCCTCCAGACTTGTCTTTTGTTACTTTTTACTACCTCCTGATACAGTTGTTTGTATCTTTTCAACTATCCTCTTGTCCTTTATAAAGTCTGAAGTAAAATAATGTATACACATCAAGCCATATGTTTTGTGGGTCCACAACAATTTTATGGGCTCACAAAAATTTATGGGCAAGCTGTTTGATGTTGAAAATAGCTTGTAATTTTCAAGTTTATCAAGTACAACTGGTTCTAATTCCTCTTTAGTGTATAAAATGGCTAATGCAGCTTTTATCCAGTTAAAGAATTTTGAATTTGAAAATTGTGTCTGCACCGTTGGTGTTTCGTGCTTCCATTACTGATGTATAATTCATGGTCACATAATCTTGTTCTTAAAATCAAGTGTTGAGAGTGTCATTGTGAATTGTGTATGTTATCAAGCAGACTCTAGAAGCGTTGAGGCATTTATGTCAAATAATGCACATATTTATGCTTAAAATTTCTTACAGGTCTGTTATGTTGTCATCCTTTCACTGTCTTGCAAATACTTGAATGTAGCCCATTTTTCAAACATTTTACAAAATATCATGAAACTTGGAATACTTGCTTATCATGATAACATGCAGTTGTAAGACAAGGGACATAATTCTGAATGCTTTATTTTTTGGAGTTATGCGCCTTTTTAATGTAGAATTTTTTTTTCAAAATTGGCTTTGACTCTCATTTCCTTTATCAGATGAGTGTTAACAGAGCATGCAGTGCTCTTGAAATTCTTTAAAATAAATCAATTTCATTATTATGATTATTGATAAGTAATTTATTTTCAAATGTAAATTTATAATAGTAAAATAAAATAATTGAGAATTTCTGAGATGTCCACTAAAGAACTGTTAAAAACATGTTGAATGTAATCAAAACATCCTTTAAGGGATACTTAGAATAAGTCCTGTCTTCTCCAGCGCTCAGAAAGAATTCTCTCTATTGATGCAACTTTTAGTCATTTACTTTGATGAATGCCTAGCACTATGTCTACAGTTCCTCTAGACTTATCTTTTGTTACTACCTCCTGATACAGTTGTTTGTATCTTTTCAACTATTCTCTTGTCCTTTATAAAGTCTAAAGTAAAATAATGTATACACATCAAGCCATATGTTTTGTGGGTCCACAACAGTTTTATGGGCTCACAAAAATTTATGGTTTAGCTGTTTGATGTTGAAAATAGCTTGTAATTTTCAAGTTTATCAAGTACAACTGGTTCTAATTCCTCTTTAGTGTATAAAATGGCTAATGTAGCTTTTATCCAGTTAAAGAATTTTGAATTTGAAAATTGTGTCTGCACTGTTGGTGTTTCGTACTTCCATTACAGATGGTTAATTCATAGTCACATAATCTTCTTCTTAAAATCAAGTGTTGAGTGTCATTGTGAATTATGTATGTTATCAAGCAGACTCTAGAAGCATTGAGGCATATATGTCAAATAATTCACATATTTATGCTTAAAATTTCTTACAGGTCTGTGCTGTTGTCATCCTTTCACTGTCTTGCAAATACTTGAATGTAGCTCATTTTTCAAACATTTTACAATATATCATGAAACTTGTAATGCTTGCTTGTCATGATAACATGCAGTTGTAAGACAAGGGACATAATTCTGAATGCTATATTTTTGGAGTTATGCGCCTTTTTAACATAGAATTTTTTTTCAAAATTGGCTTTGACAGTCATTTCCCTAATCAGATGAGTGTTAACATAGCATGCAGTGCTCTTGTAATTCTTTAAAATAAATCAATTTCATTATTATTAAAAGTAATTTATTTTCAGATGTAAATTTATAATAGTAAAATAAAATAATTGAGAATTTCTGAGATGTCCACTAAAGAACTGTTAAAAACATGTTGAATGTAATTAAAACATCCTTTAAGGGATACTCAGAAGAAGTCCTGTCTTTTCCTGCACTCAGAAAGAGTTCTCTTTATTGATGCAACTTTTAGTCATTTACTTTGATGAATGCCTAGCACTGTGTCTACAGTTCCTCTAAACTTATCTTTTGTTACTTGTTACTACCTCCTGATACAGATATTTCTATCTTTTCAACTATCCTCTTGTCCTTTATAAAGTATGCAGAAAAATAATGTATACACATCAAGCCATATGTTTTGTGGTTTAGCTGTTTTATATTGAAAATAGCTTGAGATTAATTTTCAAGTTCATCGAGCACAATCTCAAATGTTTATAACCTCGAGGCCTGGTTCTAATTCCTCTTTAGTGTAAAAAATAGCTATTGTAGCTTTTATCCAGTTAAAGAATTTAGAATATGATAAATGTGTCTGCACTGTCGGTGTTTTGTGCTTCCATTACTGATGGTTAATTCATGGTCACATAATCTTGTTCTTAAAATCAAGTGTTGAGAGTGTCATTGTGAATTGTGTATGTTATCAAGCAGACTCTAGAAGCGTTGAGGCATTTATGTCAAATAATGCACATATTTATGCTTAAAATTTCTTACAGGTCTGTGCTGTTGTCATCCTTTCACTGTCCTGCAAATTCTTTATGTAGCCCATTTTTCAAACATTTTACAATATATCATGAAACTTGGAATACTTACTTATCATGATAAAATGCAGTTGTAAGACAAGGGACATA